TTATGTGAATTTGTGTGAGTGCTAGTATGGGTACTGTTATGGGAACAGTCCATTGGAAATGTTCCAGGATAAGGCAAAAGACTTTTAAGTTCTTGTTGATTAGCTGTGTGAATTGCCCATGATCTGTATGCTACATAACATCCATGGAAGAATAAATACAGCTGTCCATTACCGAACACAGGATACCGACTCAGTGTGATGTTCACTGATTGAAATATTAGACATCTGATTAAAATGTGGCACATGGCCAGAAAGGGTTTAACCAGCTTATAGGTTGACTGACCCACAGTTGACCTTTAAAGACTTGTTGGGAAGATGTGTAAATGATAGTTGGCCTGTTACATTAGGTTGGAGTAGAACTTTGAAATGCAGACCTGCATTGTTGGAGCAGTAGAACGGTGGGTGTTTGCACAGGTCTTGTGATGTGAACAAACAATCCTTGTCTGTTACTATAGGTTTGATTCAAGATCAGAAGGGAATATTTACATTTATATTGAAATTTGATTGAAGTAGTGGTATTAATTATATTCTCCCCCGCCCCCCCGAGGAGCAGTATAGACACTGAAACTCTTCAAGTCCGAGGAAAACAAAGTTTTGGGCTCAGCTTCCTGGGATATTACTCCCCAGATGGGGTCAGAACCCCAAATAATTGCTGGGGTGGGTTCCTGGATGATTATGATGGAGGTGTGTTGCATGGTTACTGGAAAGAATTTGTTGAAGATTAGGGGGTTGTCTGTAGGAGAGGTTTGGCCTTTCCTCCAAGGTCTGTGAGAGTGAGGGGTCACTTTCCAGGATAGGTTGTAGATTGTTGATGATGCAATGGAAGGGTTTAAGTTGTGGACTGTAGGTGATGGAATTCTCTTGTTTTCTCTTCTTGGCCTGACTTGAAGTAGTTCATGTCTGGTACTCTTGTCAATCTGTTTTTTCACTTCACTTCTCTGGGGGTTTTTCAGTTTTAAGAATGCTCTAAATAGATCCTGTAGGTGTTTGTCTGTGGGATTGGAGCAAATCCGGTTGTATCTTAGGGCTTGACTGTATGCAGTAGATTGAGAAATGTGTCTGGGATGGAAGCTAGAGGCATGAAGGTAAGTGTAACCGTCAATAGGTTTCTGGTATAGGGTGGTGGAAATGTGTCCATCAATGTAATTGTACTGTACTGTCAAGGAAGTGGATCTCTCATGTGGATTGATCCAGGCTGAGGTTGATGGTGGGATGGAAGTTGTTGAAATCCCTGTGAAATTCTTCAAGGGTCTTTTTCCTGTATGTCCATATGATGAAGATGTCATCAGTGTAGTGTAAGCAGAGTAAGGTTGCTAGGGGGTGAGAGCTGAGGAAACGTTGTTCAAGGTCAGCCATAAAGACATTGGCCATAAAGATGTCCAAAAATACAACACACAGAAACCTGTTGGAGAACACTTTAACCTGCCTGGGCACTCATGAATGGATCTCCAAGTAACCGTGTTGTTTCAGGCCAATTCCACAAGCCAGATACACAGGGAATGGTTGGAACATAACTTCCTTTATAAGTTTAATTCTTATCAGAATGGAATGAACAGGGATATTGCTTGACTCATACACTACCTTCTACATCCTAATGACTTAACCAAACAATGGAGGTGCTAATTGTCCTTATCAGCCTCTTGTAACTTGAACTATCTATTCACTGTCTTTTTTCCCTTTTTTCCCCCTCCTTCCCTCTCCCCCTTCCCTTATTTATTCTTGGATCTGAACTTTTAGTACTCCAATCATCTGAAGAAGTGGGTTGTGCCCATAAAAGCTCATGATACCACCTACATGTTTTGTTAGTTTTTAAGGTGCTACTTACACCAAAGTAAAAAAAAAATACAGATCCAGCTGATTGACATTAAGATTGATAGGTTACATGAGATATTTTGTCCAAAGCATCTTCGAGTTACGCATATTTGTGTCCATAAATCTGTTTCATAAAGCATGTGGAATGGGAGGGTCCCTCACACTCTCTATCAGGAAAAAAGAAAACAATATCGTCTCTGATAACACTATATAGTAGTTGTGCATGCTGACTTTTTACACATGACCATAGTATATGAGCACGTATATGATCATTCAAATTGTGTGTCTGTGCTTTATATAGTTGCAGTTTTTACACTGTATTATCAATATATGCCACACAAACTGTGCAGCTACCAGATTGAAAATGAAATAGTTCAATGCTGAAATTAGCTAGTGCAAATAGCAGCTAGTTTTCCATTCTAGAGCAGATCTGATTTATGAACGAATTACACAATTGTGAGTGACAACAATTTAGAGTTTAGCGACTGCATAATTTACATGCCGTAAATATCCTCACTTAAGTATAATAATAATTATTTTTATTTCTTGTATGAGACTGGTAGGAACAGTAAGTAAATTTTGTACTATGAGTGCATGGGAGGCACATGCCATTCAAGCACACCCTACATTATGAAATCAGTAATCCTGGAGAGATTATAAAATCACAAAACTTTTTGTTCATCAGGCAGTCAGTTCCAAATCAAGCCTGACATTCAGTAGGCTGTGTCCAACAAAGTTTGATTTAATTTCCCCTATAACAAAAAAACAAACCATAAAAGTAGATCTGATCTTCATTATATATAGTGTGTAAACAAGTTCAGTATGGATATGTCTACACTACAGCGTTATTTTGAAATATTTTATTTCAAAATAGTTATTTCGAAATAGCTCATTTCAAAATAACATGTCTAGACACAAAATGCAATTTGAAATAGAATTTTGTTATTTTGAAATAGTGTGTCCACACTGATAGGATGCTGAATCACATTTAAGGCTGTCTGGAACTGGTTCTGGCAGGGCATCGGGTCAGGAGTTACCTTGTGTGGCTGGTGCCTGGGGGTAGCTGCAGGGGATGCGATGCAGGTTCTCAGGTTTCCTTGCTTGCTTGCGGATAGCAAGGCATTTTTATCTCTGTGTGCTCTGGTTGCCCTCACTCAGGACACCAGAGCTCTTTGCAACATGGAGCCAGAGCCTCCCCTGGGCACTCTGGTGCTTCTCCTGGATGTGTTGCTACGAGCCTGGCAGCATGTTCTGCAGGCAGTAACAGTCTTCCTGGTGTACCCCACGGGAGGCTTGTGCCTCATTCCTCCCTCACGTCCTTCCACTTTCCCCTCCCTAATCCCCCTTCCTGCTGTACAATAAAAGACACGTGTTCATTACAACAAAGCCTCTTTATTGAATAAAACTGGAGTGGGATGGGGGGGAGGAATGAAACTGAAATGAGTCTGGGGAAAGAAGGTGGGGGAGGGAGAAATCTGGGAGGAGGGAGGGGAGGGGGAAACCTGGGAGGAGGGAGCTGGCAGGGGGAGGCAAGGGGAGGAAGGGGGTGGAGAAGCTCAGGGCTCAAGGCTGGGGGTCTCACCAGCCCAACTGTCTCCCAGCACAGCGGGGGCAGGGGCCTCAGCGTCCCCCTTCCTGATGTCAAATAAAAGACACGTATGTTCAAAAATAGAAACTGGGTTTATTGAACAAAACTGGGGGGGGGGAATGAAACTCTGGGGAGACTGGGAAAAGGAGGTGGGAGAGGTGAAGAGAGAGGGTGGGAGAGAGGAGGGGGAAACCTGGGAGGATGGAGCTAGAATAGGGAAGCAAGGGGAAGAATGTGCAGGGGAAGCTCAGGGTTGGTGGTCTCGCCAGACCAACTTGACTTTCATGCTAACCTGCTCCTGGGTTCGCGTGTGGCCTTTGGTGGCCAGGCTGGCAGCCATCCGCCTGTAGACAGTTGCGTTCCTTCATTTAGCTTGGAGATCACGGAATCTGAAGGCATCCCCCCAAACCTGAATTACTCTGGGTGTGTCTAGACTACATGCCTCCTTCGACGGAGGCATGTAGATTAGCCAGAAGTGGCGAGCTGGCTGGCACTGGCTGCCTGGCTCATGCTGGGGTCACTGGCTCAGGGGCAGCAACTGCTGGCTCTGGGCTGGAAGGCTTGTAGGTGGCACAGGTACTGTGGCCAAGTCTATCCCTTTAAGGGCTCCGGGGAGGGGGAAGAGGCACCCTAGGAAGGGCTGGAGGCCCCTATTTTGAAAAAAGCATCTACACAGCGCTTATTTTGAAATAGTAATTTCAAAATTGGCACTATTCCTCATGGAATGAGGTTTACCAATTTCAAAATAAGCCCTCCGCTATTTCGATTTAATTTCAAAATAACGGTTTGGCTGTGTAGATGCTGGTAAAATTATTTTGAAATAATTTTGCTGTGTAGACATACCTTATTAGAACTTATGTATAGTCCCAATGCATAAAGATATTCATTCATCCCTCAGAAATCAGAAACATTTGTATGCTGTATGTTTCTAATAGGAGAAGTAACCCCTTTGGGGAGGCCTATTAGTTTATTGAGTTAAAGAGAAACTTTGTGTAGTATGCAAACAGCTAAAATATTTCTCAGTTAGGCATCAGATGCTGACTGGGAATACCTGTCACCTTTTGACATGCTCAGTTTTGCATCTCTAGAGAAAAGTCTGCATGGTATCTCTGAATTTTTCCACTGAACCCCTCTCAACCAAAGGATAAATAAGAGGAATATTAAAAATATAAATCTTTAAAGTAAATGAGCCTAATTTACATTTGCTCACACTAATCATACATCAGTGCTGATGTGCTGTGGAGGAGTGTTAAATGTTGCCTGGTAGGCATTCTCTCTTCACACAAATAATGCAGCAGAATATTAATTCTACCCTTTCAGCAGCGCTTAAAGGAAGCATTTTATCAGCTTATTTTTAAATTTAGTAAAGATGGAGCTGGGTGTTTTCTAGATATTAGGTTACATGAACAATTATAATGACAAATTGCTTCACATTACAGAAAAATGTCATTGAAGATCAGAGTGAAAATATCAGTGTATTTAATAATCCCTAATATTTTATTTATTATTTAGACCTTTTCCTTTTTTGGTTGTTGACATCCTTGAGAAATTATTTGGAATGATTATTTGTTACTTTTTTATTTTTCAACTAAACCATCAGATGGTTGATGAAGTCTGAGACTCTGGAGTATATCAACGGGAGGACTTCTGAAATGGGGAATGTTTTGGTGTACCACAAATGAAGCTCTCATTCATTGGATTCTCTCAAAAGGTAAAGAGAAATCATTTTAATTTCTGGGCTTGAGAACAAGTTCATGGGGATGACCACTATCTATTTCTTTGACTAAATAGGAGAGGGATTTATTTGCTCTTATTATCAAGCTTTCTAATTTTAACTTGAACACTTCTAGTGGTTTTATAATATAATCTGGGAATTCCTATTTTATAGTTTGTGGGAGTGATCGGACTCAAACTCTGCCTAGGTAGTTGAGGACTGAATGTTGTCTGTCTTCTTTTCTGCCAATCTATGGTGCTTATAAATCACCAGACACACAGGCTATGTTTACACAGCAGTATTATTTTGGAATAACAGAAATAACATAGTCCGCATCTACACTACAAGCTGTTATTTTGATATAATGTTGAAATAATGTCGAGCTGGAGGACTTCTTACTCCGACTCCTGTAATCCTCATTTTATGAAGAGTAAAGGAAGTCTGAGGAAGAGTGCTCTCTTTCGGACTTCCTGCTGTGAAGACAGCACCAACAGCTGAAATAAGCTATTTTGACTTAAGCTATGCAATTGACGTAGTTCATGTTGTGTAGTTTATTTTGGCTTTAGCCCTGCTGTGTAGACATGCCCACAATGATGTGTAGCTTTCCAATGGTATTTCGTCCATGGTCTTAAGCAGTGATTCTCGACCTATTTACCATTGTGGGAAGCATATGCAACTTTCTGATATATGAGCAACATCTGCACAATATATATAACCTATATGTCCCTGAAGATGTCATATGGGCCATAGCTATGTGCTGATTGGGCCACAACCAGTCTGTTCTCAAGGAATTAATGATCTCCATATAGGTGATACAGGCAGGTGATAACTTTAGTGCTAATTTTTTTATCAAGCCATAATTTCATCAGTTTCTGTGAATCTCTTGTAACTAAAGCACATCTCCTTCTAACCTCATCTTTGATGGAATCATTGGCTCTGATCAAGTTTCTTAGGTAAACATATGATTTTACTTGTTCTGTAACTTGCTGCTGTATTTTAATATTTCATTTATTCTCCTTTTTCCAAGATGCAACCTCTGTACCCTTTTCAACATTTATGTAAGTCAGTTTAGGTAGTGGAAAGGATTTACTCCCTTTATTCCCAAATAACCTTCATCTCTAATTAAAACAAAACTCCTTTGAGATATAAATGCATTAATATAGCACACACATATGATTTTTCATTTTCTCTGCCATTTCTTATGTTTCCAATTCAAATACTGGACAAAGTCTGCCATTAATGAAATAATAGAGGCAATTCTATCCAAACCTTGAAGTACCACAAATATCTTTTGGCTTGTTGTTCTCAAGGATTGCCATCCCAGTTTTACCGGGTAATGCAGTCAAGTAGTTCAGCTAAGAATTCAGACATTTATAGCCAGTGTTCTATAACCTCTACAAGTTTTCATGCTCCAACAACTAATCCTGACTTCCAAGTTCATCCTTCTACCATTTTTGCTGTGATCTTTACTTCTCTATCCTGTATTACTACTTGCTGACCAAAAAAGAGACCATAACCGGGAGAATAGTATCAAAATTAACAAAACAATTTAAAGGAGGACAAGTAGGACTGCTGTAGAAATAAGAATAAGTTGCTATGTAGACCATAAAGGTGATAGAGGTGCTGATTCTTCTGTAACAGTGACTGAGAGTTATTTTTAGAAAGCTGACCACCATAATTTCTTGTATTTTACAATTATTGTATTTATTAATGAAATCTATAGCAATCAAACCAGAAAGGATTACATAACATTTCATTACATAACATTTCATTAAAATTTTAATGGCAAAATATGCAGATGATTTTGAATGTGGTAGGTTTGTGAAAATACGCTCCCAATAGAACATATTATTTCTAACCTAGTTCTGGTGCCCTTAATATCACCTTTGAACAATTATTTATTTAACAGGCATACATTTTATTTACAAAAGTTAACCAGAAAAAGAAATTAAAGTGAAAAAGAAGAAATTGTAAGAGTAAATGATAGCACTCAAGAAAAGATACTTTGCAAAAGATCCAAAGTGAAGTGAAATTGATCCAAGTTGTCATTTCTGGCAGCTGTTATTTTTCCAAAAAAAGTCTGCAAAAATTTCTGCATGAAAAAGGCTCAGTATTTTTCTGACAACAAAGGAGACATATTTGGGTTAATAGAATCTTGATTCTAAAATAATTGCTTTAGATGTTTCCCTTTATTAAATGAGGTTTTAAAACCCGTTTTCTCAAATTTTGTAGGGTTTTTCTTGTTTTTATCTTCTTAATTGGTTCAGACATATATCATTGGGAACTGGTGAAGGGTTCTGATACCACTGGAAAGGTCCAGCTGTGCAATCAGAGCATGACTTTGGATACTTGCTGTCCAAAATTATATATTAATTAACCATATAGTGATCATGGTAGATTTTACTTTAATAACAGTAAAAATACTGACCACAGAACATGTTTTCTCCAAAACATTTATAATACTCTTTTACTTTAATAACAGGAAAAATACTGACCACAGAACAAACATGTTTTCTCCAAAACATTTATAATACTTTACACTTAATATTACATTATGCTGTGTTCCTCAGATTTAATCTAAAACCTGAAGAAAGCCCCACAATAACCCTGTCAGGTAGGTTTTTGACTACAACTTTTCAAAGCTAGATGCCTAAAGATGGACTCCTTAACCCATATTTAGGCACTTGACTGACTAGATTTCTAGATTCTAGAATAAGCTCCCAGTGAAGTTCCAACCTGTAATGTCTGATGTCTAGTAGATCTGAAGTCAGTGGGAGCTTAGAGTATCGCCCTTTTACAAACCAGGCCCATTATTTAGGTACCTAAATATGGAGCCACCGTCAAACATGCAGTTATGAAAAGTTTATTTCTTTCCAGAACTGAAAGATATTAACCATTATCTTTATTTTACAGATGAGGTAACAGAGGCAGAGAGCAGACAGGTGGTTTGCTCACAGTCAGATAGGAAATGAATCATACAACCAGCAATAAAGTTCTAATCTTCTATCTTCTTGTCATGGATTATGAAGACAATATATGAAGCATTACACCCCCAAAATAATTGATTTAATCTCCAGGAAGCAATGTATGAATTTCCTCTACCAGGAGTAAACTGCTCATTTAGGGCATGTCTACACAACAGGGCTGAGCTTGAAATCAGCTATATAACTTGAGTTACGTCAGTTGTGTAGTTTATGTCAAAATAGCTTATTTTGACTTTAGGCATGGCTATACAGCACTTATTTCAAAATAGAGCATTCTTCCTATGACTTCCCTTGCTCCTCATAGAATGAGGTTTACACAAGTCAGAATAAGAAGCCTGTTATTTTGAATTTATTTTGAATTAGCGGGTTTGCTGTGTAGATGCTGTGTAGACATGCCCTTATAGAGCAGTAAAATGTTTGATGCTAGGATAAATAAATTGTTATATTTAGGTGCTGTTGGATTTCTGTCAGCTCTCCTGTGATTTGGAAACTTTCCTCCATAGACATCATACTGGGGAAATTTCACCAGACCATTTATATTGTGAACCCATCACCTTTTCACTCAGTAATACATTTCTCTAGTCAGTGGTACCAGTGATTATATGCTATCATCTTCGCCATTATCCAGGACAGACTGAAATAAGGAACTTGTAATTTCGCTGTAAGATTAAATTGGAACTGAATCTGGCACTTCACATTTGTCCAAACTATCTCTAACCCAAACAAAGTATTGAACAGACACCAGTCTGAATGCACATTGTTAGACTTTTAGCCTATAATCTGAAGACACTGTTACCATCCTTTGAGCCTACCAGTCCACACATAGACCAGGGCAACATATTACCTTATTAACCCCTGTCAAACTGTATCCTGGACTAGATGAGGATGAATCGGTGTCATCCTATCTTTAAAATATGTTACAGATCTCATTTTATAGAACAGAATTTTGCAGGGACAGTGGAAAGAAGCTCTCCCATTCAATCTCAGCGTGGAAATTGTTTTTGTTATCTGTGACCCTAAAAGCTTTTTGATGCCAACTGGCAGAGGGCCCACCATTCTAACTCCTAACACATTGCTGTCAGAGCATTTATCTACAGAGTGTCATATGAAGTGTCAATTGAAAGCTGATGATACATTGGCAATTGATATTGCACAACATGTATGAATAATATGTGAAGAGTTATGTATTGATATGTCTACATTGCATTTCTCTTCCAAGAGAGGAATGCAAATGCAGATAAGCGAAATTGCAAATTAAGCACGGATTTGAATTTCCTGTGCTTCTTTTGCATAATCATGGACTGCCACTTTTCCAAAATAGTGTCTTTCAAGAAAACAAATGTGGACCCCATGGGATTGGTTAGAGAAAATAACCCTTACTCCTCATGGAATAACCCCATGGGGACCGTGTTTGTTTTCTCTAAAGACGCTATTTCGGAAAAGCGGCGGTCCGCAATTATGCAAATGAAGCGTGGGAAATGCAAATCCGCGCTTCATTTGCAATTTCGCTTGTCTGCATTTGTATTCCTCTCTTGGAAAAGGAATGCAATGTAGACATAGCCTATGTGTGCTAGAAATAGATTCCTTAAATGTTTTGGAGGCAGAGTTGATAAACAAGTTTGTTCTAAACAAAAGACTATTGATATACTTGACTGCCTAAGCCATAAACAATGGCATTTACCTTTACATCTGAATCAACAGGAAAACAAATTGTGCCTCAGTGAGATGACACTGTGCTGTCTTCTTTTTTCAAACAGCGGGGGAAGATAACTTTATCTGAGCGTGCACTTCAAAAAATGTGTTTCAAAGATTTACTGCTGGACTACAGATTGGAACTCTCTTGTCCGGCACAAGGGAGTTTGCCAGAGTAGGGGAGGTCAGTTCCAGCCCCTATGCTGCTGGGCTCTCCCCAGGAGCTGCCAGCTTCCCAGCTAGGCTTCCCATATGGCTGCTGACCCTGCTGTTGGCCCCAGCCACTGGTCTCTTCTGCTGGTCCTGGCGGAGCTCCCTGCCACAGAGCTGCTGGATCAGCTCTGCTCCCAGTCCCCTGTGCAGGCTCCTGGCCACCAGTTCTGGGCTGCCACCCCCTGGCTATCAGACTGGCTCTGCTCTTAGGCTACCAGCTAGGATCCAGATTGCAAGTCCCCCGACCGTTATACTGGCTGCATTCTTAGCCCCCTAGCTGAGGTTTAGGTTGGGCCACTGGCCTTCTGGCCACCAAATTAGCTCTGCTCCTGGCCTGACTCCAGGCTGCTGGCCCCCTGGCCATAGGACTTGCTCCTCTCACCACCCCCCAGCTGGATTCTGGGACACTAGTCCCCCAGGTCCCTGACTTCCAGGAGGCCACTTTCACAGCTGATGGGGTTCTCTGTTCTGACAACATCTGTGGTCCTGTTGGATCACAGATGTTGCTACATCAGAGAGTCCAAGACCAGAGAGGTTCAACCTGTAGAAGAAAAAGGAGGAGAGAAGCCTTTTTGTTGTTCTTCATGTAGGGGACAAAGAATTCAGCATTTTCTATCTCTTTGAAGGGTGGATCCCCTACCATATGGCAGAGTGATGCTGAAAGGCTGTTTTAGGCAAGAGAGCTATTTTAGTCAAGGATTATATCTTGTTAAGTTTTAGTCACTAGAAAGCATGAGTGCATTTTCATATCCACTTTCTGTTTCTAGTATCACTTAAATCTCTGTTCTTTATTAATAAAGTTTCTCATTATATATTTATTTCAGTGCTGCATGATTCACGTGTGGTGTTCATCCTCAGCTGAGCCAGCAGGCTGATTTGTATTCTCTCCCTTTGGAGACCGTGGATTTGGTAATTCCTAGAGGTGTCCAGTGACAGGCAGAGTACTGCAGAGGGACATTCTGCCAGGGCGGCTGGGAACTGGAGACACCCAGACTTTCCTGCCAGTCATGGCAAAGAGTTGTTGGGCTGTGCAACAGATGAGTGTGTCTGGGAGCTGACACACAGTTTAGCAATAACAAATCTCTTTCAAAGAGGCAGGCAGGTAACAAAGTGATTTACAGCTCTGGAAGCCACGAGAAAGCATCACATTATCACATCATAAAATTTTAAAAAATTAGAAAAAACAAGCTTGCTAGGGTCCTGATTCAGCTTCCATTGATTTTAGTGGGAGTTCAATTGAATCCAGGGAGAGGCAATCTGGACTTGTTCTTCTTCTTCTAGAAAATGTTGCCAGGCAGCCTCATGCAGTATATATTTCTTTGGTGATCAGATTTTACGGTAGGTGCTCAGCATAAGAAAATGGATCCTCATTTGGGCATGATCTAAAGTCTACTGAAGACCGCCATTGACTTCAGTGAGCATTTGCCTACTGATTCTTTCAAGTCTTTTTTCTCTTTTCTATCACACTCCCACCTTCATTGCTTCCTTATTCTTCCTCATTTCATACCACTTGATAGTGTCTAGAATGACTTTTCTTTTTCTAAAAAGATTAGAATTAGCATCCACATTTAAGCTTTGAAAATTGCTATTTTATTTTGTTTGTTCAAAGTGAGGGGAGCGGTAACTAGATCTGTTTGCTTTTTGGGACAGATTAAAGATGCAAAGGTTTCGTACAATATTTATAGTATATTATAATAGTGCCTGGAGACGTAGCATGGAGTAGAAAATCTTAATAAGTAAACTGGACCAAGAAATTCTTGATCTTTATTCTTTGACAAAGCATGTTTTAAAACTGAAATAATTAGGAAGAGTATGAGTTTCCATGTTGAGCTGATTCTGCCAAAATTCTGTTCTACCTGCTTTCTTGTGGTCTGTAATATAGCTTTTATGGATTTTCTTTTCAATGATGTACTGGTAGTTTGTTTGGAGCATGTCTACAGGGGAAAGTAAATTAACATTGCTTTGAATGGTGCATAGCTCTGCACCTTAGTTCCAATATGTTGGTAGCCTCTCATTTTAATGAATTATACTTTCTTACTCCAGGAAATATAAATCAACTTGCTGAAGACAAATGAGGAAGAAAATGAGAAAAAGCTAATCTATTAAAACCACCCAGACCTGCTTAAAAGATATCTGGATGCACCTTTGAGAATAAGATCAGAATTAGTTCCTAGGAATTTACAGATTCCCCCTGCTTTCTAAGCATAATTTAGAAAGCCTGGTTCCTTAGTTTAGTGGCATCAGATTAGTCAGTGTACATACATAGTAATGGTCACATTTTCTATAATAACAATGGTTTTTGGTCCTGCCCCAATGATATATCTAATTGTCACGTTATTGGATTTTAAAGGTCATTGCTGCACCCATGGGGTGTGTGTGTGTGCCCCAAAAGTCTATACAAAGGGAGCCATGTGAGGTGTCACATGAAAACTTGTGTTCTACTGATTCTGTATATGCTATTCATGTACTTATATAATATCTGTATGTGGCGTTATAAATATGTACTCTGTGTTGATGCTGGAAAATTCTCTGTCTGAGGCAGAGCAATGTGCCAGGAATGTTTGTTCAATGGCTATGCTGATGAGCGAGGCTCCAGTGACAATAGATCTCTAAATGCCAAAGACACACCTGGGGGATGAATCTGGATGCCTGCAGACCAGCCAGAATAATGATTGCTGGCTTGGGACACAAGAATAGGCCACTGACCATGTGACCTGCTACAGCATGGAAGATGCCAGGAGAGGTATTTAAGTACTATGTGGCACCCTCCATCTTGTCTTGAGTTCAGCTCCTGATCCCAGATGCAGCCTTGCAGGGAACAATGAGCCAGGAAGAACCGTGGACCCATCCTGACATAGGATGTACACCAGAGACTTTTAAGATAGCAGTTTATAACATCTCTGCTAAGAGCCTGTATCGAGAACTGGGTGATTTGATGCATGTAATGTATTTTCTTTAACAACCTTACTCTCATACTTTTCTTTCTTTTAGTAATAAACCTTTTGATTTTAGATTCTAAAGGATTGGCTCAGCATGATCTTGTGGGTAAGATCCAGAGTGTAAATTGACCTTGGAACTGTGGCTGGTTTTTCGGGACCGGAAGAACCCATTTGGGGTAGGTGAGAGTGGGTTCTATAACCCCTTACCTGTGTGTTAGGCCCGGGGCTGATTGGGGCACAGGAAGAGCTGGGGTATCAGAGAGGTTTTGCTCGTGAGGCTTCTGGCTGGACAGAATGTCAGCTGAAGCGATCGATGTAGCTGGTTTGTGTCCTGTTTGGGAAGGTCCCTGGTCTGGGGCTGTAAAGAGCCCCGAGTTTGAGCAATTAGTCCTGAGTGGACATCCTCAGCTGTGCCCAGACCCGTCCGTCACACTAATATCAGGCACTTGGGCTTCTAAACAAGCCTCTGTTTTGTGTGTTCAAAACTGCAGTGTAATTTGGGCAGATTGTGAGACTGGGATTTGGAAGAATCTGCCAGATTGCAGATTATTGTTTGGACATATGAATTGGGGACAGTAGCATCTGATTCTGAGTTTATAAATTAGGTTTAGGTCTGACAAACTGCTTAAATTGCCTGAAAAATTTGGCAGCTTCTATGCTCCTAGATATACAGTTTGGACCTCCCTGGCCTGGCATGCTCAGGACCTGACTGGGAGGACTTTTGCCAGACCAGGGGAAGTCATTTTGGACCCCTGCTACCGTCCCTCCTGGCCTGACTCCCTACCTCCTGCTGGCCTCTCTGCTCTGATGACTCTGCTAGGCAGCCATTGCTGCTGTGGCTCCAGGATCTGCAGGACAGCCATGCGCACTGCCCTGGACAGCCACACACCGCAGCTCCCTACCGCACCAAGCTACCGTGGCTCTCACCATGTGCCAGGTGAGCCAATGCTGCTGAGTAGCCCTGCTACCACATGCTGGGTGGCCCTGCCATCAGCTCACTGTGGGCAGCCCACTGCCCTGCTGACTCTGCTTGGATCCTTGCCACTGGCCTTCCACTGTGACACTCTGGTCCTGCAACATCCCTGCTGGACCATGGATGGTGCTGGACCAGAGAATCCTGGTTAAGAGATTTTCAATCTGTACCGTTGAGTTGGGCAATGCTGAGCATTTGGTAAATTTCACCAGAAAATGAGCCATCTTCACCGTTCTCTACAAAAAATGTACCATAATACCTGTGAACAGTTCATGAGGATAAGGATGAGGAATTTCTGTTTCATCTTTTGTTTAAAGGATCATAAAACAAGACTTCATTAAATAGGTTTGTTTTTCAAATGTTTTGCATGGATTTATATCTTAAACTATTTAAAAGATTGACTTGGTTAAGAAGCACAACTCGTTTCTAGCTGACATGAAGGATTTTGTGAGCAATTGATCACTGCTGCCAATTGTCAAGGTCAGAGGGATGTTCCAAATTGGCAGTCCCCAAAGTACTTGAGAAGATTAGCCTGAAAAAAAGGGAAGAGATGAGGGAATGGGGGGAAAACAGTTATCAATTCAGTTCATGCAATATTAAAAATACCTTAAACAGAGTTTTTTTGTGGGCTGATCATACCCCATTATATCTTATTTTTTGTATTTAATTTTACTGAGTTTTCCAATGGTAAATCACAAGTCAGGTCAAGGAATAGAAAAAATAAATATGCAGTGATATTTGTGCACATTTTTTCAGTGTTACTTCAATAGCAGAAAAATAAATATTAAACGTGTGATTATTGTCCTTCTGTTGGACAATAATCAATGAGACTTTGAAGACCTGTGCTCTGTTTCTGGTTCTGACACTTGCAGAACTGAACTGTGAGGCCTCTTTAAGTGAGTCAGAGATAAAGATTTGCACATGCTGGTTCTGAATGAGAAATACTTATACTTCTGTGAGCACAGTCAAAGGTGAGTATAGAAAAATGAGATCTTCTGAGATTAGCCTGGATTTGGAAGAAAATGAACATATGTTCATATGAGTTGCTGCTGGTTTCATAGTTGTACTAATAAATGCCTATGTACAGATATTGTCTTGTCACATTCATCATCTCCTACTGATATGGATAGATTGGAGTTATTAGAGTGATTCATATTTTTTGGCACTAGAGCCTGAATGTGCACTGAAGTCAATGGGAATCCTTCCATAGACTTTAGCATGTGTTGGATTGGCCCCTTAGGTAGTAATGACATGGAATAAATAATACAATTAATTAGTACTTAAAATACATAAAACTCTTTTCTAGTTAGCTTATGGTAATACACTGGAATAGGAGATGCTTGTCCAATGGCTATTGGATGTAGAGACCCAACGCATAGACTGGAATATAGAATAGCTACAGAAATGAGACACAAAAAGCTTTGGCTTTTGTAGATATTAAGGGGGCAGAGGCAAGATTTTTGGAATCTCTTCCTATTGGTTATCATGACACTTAAACCCTAAAAGCACTGAAGCACTCTCAAAAAGTCTGATGGGATTGCTTGAGCACCATTAGTCTGTTCTAGAGCCTCAGTGAATGCTAACACTGTGAGCGAAATTCTCATGTGGTATGAACAGGCATAGTTGCACTGACTTTAACAGAGCTATGATAATTTACATCACCTGAGAATCAGTCCCACCAGCTTTATAGATGACTGGGGAGGAAAAAGTCAAGTTTTAAACACAAATTTCTTTGGACATTAGCGGTACATCTAGACTACAGGCTTTTGTCGACAGAAGTTTTGTCGACAGATATTGTTGACAAAGCTTCTGTTGACAAAGAGCATCTAGACTACATCCAGTTCTGTTGACAAAGCAAGCTGCTTTATCGACATGACAGTGTAGATGCAAAGGACAGTGTAGATGCAATAATGCTTTCTGTCGACAGAACTCTGACAAAAGGTGTTATTCCTCGTAAAATGAGGTTTACAGCCATCGACAAAACTGCTGAGTTCCATTGACGTTATATCGACAGAACTCAGCAGCAGTGTAGATGCAGGTATAGTTTTGTCGACAAAGTCCACTGTTGTCGACAAAATCCTGTAGTTTAGATACACCGAAGGAGAAGTAGAAGTGCAGTATTTGTAATTACTGGTGTTACAAAAAATTGTTGCTGGAAAGTATAACTTTGGGCTCTCCTCCATATTTCTTTCTTTCTTTCTTTCTTTCTTTCAATGTTCATCCTTGTCTGAACCCTTTGTATAGAACTTAAATGGCCTTGCCGCTAAGTAATTAGAGTGGTACAATGGCCATCTATGACACAACTGTCTCATTTTTGTGTTTGTCCCTGCAATGGGAAATTGCAGGTTGGAACAGTCTTTCAAATGGGATGTGCAGTGTTTCCCATTTCTGGCTGGGACAGAAATAATCTTTTTATGTTAGCTCACCACAGGCATAAAAATTAAATTAACCAACTAGTCAAGCAACTATACTTTTCAAACCTCAAAAAGAGAGATTGGGTGAATGCTGAGACTGATTCTTATTTTATCCTCATTGCT